GTGGTCGTGGTTTTACCATCTGCTTCTGGTTGAAGACGACACACAGTGGCTTTTTCATCGAATACGAAGTCGCCGCATCTAGGGAACAAAATGCAACCTTGGTACTGGGGCTTTACTTTCATAACCACAGTTTTGATATTCAATTTGGCAGCATAAGAAGGTACCAAATAATTTTCCTTAAGTAATATCATGAAAATTTATTCTATAACTATAAAATGATTGCCAAAGCGATTTCCATTCCGTAATTGGACATTAATGTATCTTGGCAATGAGCACAAGACGAGGCAACGATAATAACATCTGTCAATATTTGAACAATTAAAGAGACCTTCGATCATTAAATCACTCACGCCAACAAACGTGCCTTTGCCGCTTTTCGTGTGACGTCATCATTTTCCAAAATAAGAAATTACCAATCCTTCCGAAGTTTTAGTTTCATGAGACGTAAGGCCCTCTAATAACTTGACGTTTTGCAGCATTTAAGCCCGACAGGGTTTCTCATTTTGAAATAGGGCACGTTTGAATTTCCAAGTGTGTGCGTTGTGTGACATTGAAATGGCGGCCCGATAAGGCTCTCGAGTAGTCAAATAGATGAGTTATTGCTCAAGTTTTTGCTAACTAAACAATTTTTGCCCTATAAAAAGTGTTAATTTCAATGTTTCGGAGCTCTAGAGTAATAACCTTTCGTTTCAATGGCAAAACTCGATGACAGATGTTTCTCTTACTTTACGGCCGCCATGTTTGTGTCCCTCTGAGGGGCACAAACATGGCGATTTCATATAAAGCTCTATAAATTTGAGTGAAACACTTCTCCGAATAACGAGAGAATGAAAACCTGCACGGACCTAAATCTTGGCGAGGTTGTTTATATGTCAATCATCTTTCGTATCCCGGCTTCTTGACTTAATTTATTGAATGGTTATGATTTTTATTTTGATGGCGTGACACTGCAAACCAGCCATAATTCTTTTTACACAGCAATATCCCAATGAGCGTGACAGATGACATGTGGCACCACACGTGCGTGGTATGGGATGGTAAGAGCGGGCTCTTGGCGGTCTTCAAAGATGGCGAAAGAAAACATCAATCAACTAGGTTTCGTGCAGGTTCACTTGATCTGAAAATTGAAGGTAACTAAATATTATAGTCGTTTTACGTTGGTGGTTGTGTCAAACCTTATTGATCTTGACACTGATTCTAGAAGTGAATCGCTAATTTAGTTAAGCAATAAAGCACTCTTTCTATGGGTTAACCGGCACAACAAACTACGCGGCATGCTACAAGAACACAAGAAAAGCTTGTAAATCGTCGTAGGCTTGCGAAGTGATTCAACGACCACTTTCCAAACTTTTGCGAATAGCATAAAGTTTAGTTACAGAAACGCTGCCTCTGAAATTTCTCTGTATTTTGCTAAATGGAAACCAAATTCGTTTATTGTGTTACATGCAGAGTTTAAACTCAAAATTTCTGATAGGCTTAATGTTAACTCGAAAGAAATATTTTCTCACCTTTTTTAACAAACGGCCAAAATGATCATTCAGCCCATCTGACTTCGTCCTCTACAGACCGTGGAAAGCACCGAAAAAAAGGTTTAAAGATCCCTTATTTTTAAACACGAGCGTAACCGGAATCGTTTTTAAAATTTTGGTGTGCAAAAAAGGTAAGCTTTATATGCCGAGTAACTTCTGGTCCTGTTTTTCCTTGCAAATTTTCAAGTATATGTTGAATGAAAAAAATTTTTGTGTTATTGATATCTCAGCCAGTAAAAGCCGAAGCTGTCTATTACATTTGTTATCGCTAGTGTTCTGAGTTCTCTAGTTCCCGCGTAGAGCGCTATATCGGGACCCTTGGTATACCGGTACAATAGAGCGCAGGTTTTGCAACTCCACTGACCAATCAGAGCACGCGTAGTATCTCAGTTATTTTAAGGCTAACAGTAAACCAATAAGGTTACACAGGGGTTATAAAGACAAAAAATATATGTTTGTCTTATCTGGTTTAATGGCTCTAAATAGAATTTCTCTCCCAAGGCATAGGAACTATGACAATAGGCTTCAGAGCAACAAACAAAACTGAGTCCGTTGGAGCATTGAGTGGTTTTAATGTGTGGTCGTATGCAGTGATCGCAGAGGAGATACTGCGCATGTCATACGGATGTGGGGATGAGACAGGAAACGCAAAGGCGTGGCATACAGTTAAACATGGATTGAAGAATAGAGTTGCGTTGGAAAGGTTTCGAACTTGTAACGATAGAAAAGGCGAGTAATCCACAAAGTTGAGTACAGTCAACCCTAAATAACTCGAACCTTCAAGGCAAATTAAAAAAAGGGTTCTAGTACGTTATCGGGAGGTGGGAACAAATGACCGGAGATAGGGAAAAAACGGTGTTTACTATATTTCTATTATTGTACATTTTAATCAAATTCAATAATAGAGAGGTCGAGTGAAAATAGAAAAATACTTCTCTTAATTACTGTGTAAATCAGGACATAATATATAGATTTAGCTAATCCTAAAAGCGGAGCTCCTGATTATAACAAGTATAACCATAAGAGAAAAAATGCTTTTCTTCAATAAGAAACTAAAAAAATGATCAATTCTTAGCATGTAATTGTTCAGCCTTCAACTTTACCATTTTTTTTCCAGTTAAAAACTTACGAAAGACTTTCCGAGAGACGAATGTACAAGGAAGTTCTTAGAAGAAATGTCAAAAAAGCGCCAGGGGTTAATTTGAGCGGAAATTTTGCTTTGCACGTACCCCCTCCTTCTCCCTCAGAGTAATGACCTGACTTGAGCCCGCTATCCAATCGACAACCTGTATCTGGGAAGCGGTCAACTTCAAAACACGTGACCTCGATTAGCTCTAAACCTGAGCCCGCGATACGGTCCCGTGATACTGGTCAGGGGATACCTTGTTTTGGCAACTGTCAATTGACCATAATAAGGATGTCCAATGTAAAAGCGAATACCGTCCAAATAACAGTACAAATATACAGCGATGTTCTACAGTTATTTGTACGGTAAAAAACCTGTTTGCCGTACAAGTCGGCGCGCGCACGCAAAACTGTCACACTCTCCCTCGTCAGTTCATTGATAAATTTATTGACCACAGCAATTGGATAATAAATCTCTTATTAGATGTTTTAGTTTATATTTGTTTTATATTTTTACTCCTTGTTTGTATTTTGACTTGTCAAAATACGGTACCACTCGTAAAATATTTAACAAATAAAGAAGCCTCGACTGTGCTCTGTTCTGTTGTAAAGCA